GCTCCGGCGGGAGGGCGGCGGGGCCTGGTGCTGGCGAGCCCGGGCGCGGTGGCGTTGGGTTGGCCCCCGGGCGGGCTTTTGGGCTTCCGGAGCTGGTTGGGCCCCCGAGGTGTTTTATTTATTATTTCTTTAACGGCCAGGCCCACCCGAGGCCGAGCCCCAAGGGCGCCGAGGCTTTATTGGGGGGCAGGGGCGGCCGCCAGGGCCCTGTTCGCCTGTGGCACGACTGCCGGGCGCCAGGCTGCCATTTTGTCACCGCGGCTGTTGTCGCTGGGGGGCGGGGGGGAGAGCCTTGCGCCATCACCCCGACGGGCCTGGACGTGGAGGCAGCTTGGGGAGGTGGCCCCCGGGCCCTCAGATGTGCTCTGGGACCCGATGGGTGTTCCTTCCCGGCGCCACGGGCCCGAGGCTTTGCTGGAGCGTCGCAATCGCCGTTGCACTGGGAGGGCGACGATCCTTCGTGCCGGCCCCCCAACCCCCAGGGCGCTCCCTCACCCCCCTTCAGCACTGCACCCTTCCTCCTGAAGCCTTTTAGACGTAGTTAAATGTGGTCCCAGGGACGAGCCGGTCACCCTGGTGTTTGTTCTTTCCTCGGAACTGGTAGGAGGGTGGGGGAAGAAATTGAACATGAGATTTCTGTTTTGGGAGGGGACGCGCACGAAACTCTAGTGGCCCCGAAGGAAGCCAAGGACAGCGGCCGCTTCCCCGGGAGGGGCGGGCGGTCGAGGCGGGGGGGGAAACGCCCTCGAGGCTGGGCTCGGGGAAGGTAGGTCTTGCTCCGTGTCTCAGGTGGGTGTTGCGGCGCCCTGCAGGGTGAGAGGGGAGCGCCCCTCGCTCTTCTCTGCCCTCTTATTTTTTCCCTAGGGGAAGGCAGCTACAGTAGTAAGTGTAACCGTAAACGGAAAAAGGGGAGTAAGGTTTGCTTTTTAAAAAGTAAGTGATGTCTTTCTGCCGACTCCCTTTCTCTGGCTGTTGACTGCAGAGCCAGACAAGGCGTCCTGTAGGTGGCATCTCTCTGGGACTTTTTAAAGCCGATAGGATGCTGATTAAACACCTCACTGGTTAAACTGGTGTCTGCCTAGAGACTAGCTTTCATGGCAGTGCCCAGCAAAGGCTGCCAGTGTGCCAGGTTTAAACTTTGACCTTTGGAATACATCGCATGATGTTTTCCAGTCTGACTTACTGCCTAATTGGGTTCAAGTAGGCTGATGTTAATTCCGGTTTATGCAAGCCAACCAGGAATCCACAGGCAGAAAACTGAGCACTGAGCTCGGGATAGTCACGAGTCAGTTATGTTCTGTTACTGAATTGCTGCTGCTGACCGTAGTTTTAAGTTTGGTGGCCGGTCCATAGTAAGTCTTGGTTCTGGAACCACACAGACCTGAGTTTGAATTCCCTCTGCCGCAAAGAGGTAAGTTAATCTGCCCCTGTGATCTCAGGCAGATCAGCCTAACCTACCTTTTTGAACTTTGGTTTCCTTACCTGGAAAACGGAAATAATAATTCTCTTTAGTGAGTAAGTGACTAAACTGGCTTGATCTGGCCCTCAGGTGTTCAGTCTGTGATAGTGTTGTTCTCTGAGAGATACTGGGGTGCGATGAGGCACGACTCTGAGCTCCTCTTCGGGTTAGAATAACACTGATAGCTAATGCTTACATAGTACCTGGAAGACATCATGCTGTGCGAGGCACAGTTCTTAGTAGATTATGCATATCAATTAATTTAGTCCCCACAACAGCATTGTAAGGTAGATACTCTTATTATTCTTATGTTACACGTGAGGAAATTGAAGACAGGTTATCACAGCCAGTCTG